ACTGCACATTGACTCACGGCACATTGATTACATTCCTCAGACTAGGTAACAAAGAGGCAAACAACAAGCCAAGGCTTAAATAGAAAGATTACTGATATACTCAGTTACAACTGGCTCATCTTGGTTTGCCAGACAAAGATGAGAAGAGAGAGGTTGTGGGTTTAAGTCACAAATTTTCACTAACATATATAAGTGTAAAGTATTATAAAATGTTAGTACTTTATTTTGAGGCAAAACTATTCTGTGAACCCAGATGTTAGCTAACCTTCATATGGGATTACTGTAGGATCAAATCTATAGATAATTTTTGTAATTTCTAATATAGTAAAAATTATTTTTGCCTGCTTCTATGTGACTGTCCTGATTTTTTGTTAGATATATTTTATGATGCCATAAAATTGAAGGTGGTGGTTGTTGTTGTTGTTATTTCAACTGAGGAGCAAAGGTGGCAGAAAATCAACCAGTATTGAAAGGTTATATCTTACAAGGCAAGGGAATAATGTAAAATGGAATTGCTGAATTTTAGGAAAATCTTACTTATTTTAAGAGTGAGACAGACAGTTGATTTTATAGTCAAATAAGTACAGGTGAGAACAGCTATAATAGTACAGTATATAACAAAGATGTTTATAAAATGGTTGATTAAATTAACATCAGTCACTTTCTAGTCTAAGAAATAGTTGTAGAGCTTGTGGAGTTTATTGGTTGTTTTTTTTTTTTTTTAATGGAGGAAAACCAATCCCAGGTTCTGACCTCCTCTTCAATGATGGACATTCGTAGACATAAGCATGAATCTATCAAGCCTTTTTACTATGTATCCTAAAAGTACTCTATTCTTCAGAGGAGGTGGCCGCTCCAGATGGTGCTGTTGCAGAATACAGAAGAGAAAAGCAAAAGTACGCAGCTTTGAAGAAGCAGCAGGCAAAGAAGGGAACTTCCCGGGAAGACCAGGTAACTTCACAAACCAAAATGCATATGCAATTCATTGCCTTTTAATTGTCTTCAAGTGTTGTTAATGGAGCCTAATTAGATTATACATGAGGGGAAACATTGCCTCTTAAAATGAAAAAGGATACATATATTTAAGGTGAGCTGACAAGGACCTTGGCCACTCATGCAAAGACCCAGCTGATAGACACACAATAGACGTAAAGCCTAAAACTTTCAGATCTCAACCTTGTACTCCCCTGTCAAGCACAGGAACCTGGTAAAGCCACATATTATCAAATAGAACCTTTGACTATGTGACTGTTATGAGATGGAGAGGAATGAGGTGATTATGAATGATGAGAGGATCGCTTCTGGATCAGCATCTCATATGCTGCCTAGACACCTCCATTTGCGCTTTACATTGCCTGTGAAGAAGGCACTTGGTCCACTAGTTGACTTCTACCATAAATAATGCAAAACTCTGCTTACTGAAAGTAATAACTGAATCTTTAGTAACTTAAGGTTGTCAGAAATGAAGAATAAAAAAAGATAGAAAGCTAGCTCCTCAATTTGGGAGTCAATCGTACACGCCATGCAGCACTTGGAACTTGATAAAATGAATCTCTTCAGCAGCCCTTTATGTTGAAAGGCTAGGGGGCAGACCAAAAGCTACTTATTTTTGCTGCTGCCATGTGTGTATGTGAGAACACACCATTTTTGGTGAATAAATAAAACAGGCAAAATAAAACTAAATATCAAAGCCCAAGCCTGTTTGAATAAATTAATCTAATCAGGAACTGTATTATAAATGACACCTAATTACTGGTAAGGAAGATCATGCATCAGTGCTTCCCATGAAAATAATCACAGGGAAAATTCAACAAGAATTCAGGTATAGGAAATTGTAATTAGAGAACTAACTTATGTGTAATTTTAAAAAGAAATGGCACATCAAATGAAATTAAGAAAAAGTGCTTTATTAAGTTGTTTTCATGGAGTCACAAAGGCCTCTGATTAGCAACTGTAGTGGTAAATATACTACCAAAGATGTTAAGGATCACTCTTATTCTTGCATTCCCCTTTCTTCCCTCCAAGGAGATAATAAACAAGGTAGAGACATCCTGCCTTCTCTGAGCTATCAGGAAAAGGAGGCAGTTAAACAAGTAATACCAGTGAAAGAGGGTGAGCATTATTGCAGGTTAGGTACAGGAAACTATGTATAACAGTAGGACCTAATAGAGCGTAAGAATCTGGGTGGGCCTCCCTGAGAAAATGATTTCAGCTGAGCTTTGAGAGTGGAGTAGGAGATACATGGCTAGACAAAAGGGGCAGTATATGAAAAGTCTCTGTCCTCTTTGCAAAGAACTATAAGGTAATAAATATGACTAGAACTTAAACTAAGAGACAGAAAAAGATGAGGCTGGAGAGGTAAGCAGGAGCCAATTCACACAAGATATGTCTGAGCCATATTAAGGAGTTCAGATTTACCCTAAGAGCAATGGGGGGTCACTGAAGGAAGGAGGCGATATGATCTCCTTTACAGTGTGGGAAGATCCCTCCAACCTGGCTCCAGCTTGAAGTGTAGACTGGACCTGGGGCAGGGCTGGAGGCACCTAGGCCATCTGAGAGACTCTTATGTGTAGGTCTGCATGCACAAAGTCTGCCAGGGCAGGCCCCCTCAATAAAGCTTCTTCACACTGGGAAAGCTCACTCTGTGCTGGAGACCACGCTGTTAGTGGTTGGCCCTTCATTCCTTCAGCAGACGCCAGAAGACTGATTCCCCTGGAAATGCCAAACAGAAAAGCCTCCATGCAGATCCTATTTTCTTCAACCAATATTGTGCCATTATTTTCGTGATGTTTGCTTTTCTCTCTTGCCTTTAGACTGAAGCTACAGAAAGTCCAATCTTGAGTATTGAAGATGTTAAGAAAGGCCAAGAGGATGTTTTCTGTTTGTCATAGTCTTAGTCCCTCTTCTTTGAGCAAATGCCAGTAGCACATTAATTGGCTCTAAAAACAGACTGCCTTGCCACTTTCAACTCAAAAAAGTACGAGTCAAGTCTAGCATAATTTTCTAGGAAGTTTTAAAATTTCATTCTACTAAGAAGTCTCCCCCTTTTTTTTTTTTTTTCATTTCTCTTTATACCCTCAGAACAGACATTTCCAAGTGTGTGAAAGTCCACCATCAAAAACTGATGGAGTTTGCTTTTAAGTGATAGCTAACTACATAGATAGATAGATAGGTAGATAGATAGGTAGATAGGTAGATATAGATATAATATACAGACACATAAACACATACACATTTATACACACAGAAGCACGTATTGAAAGCCTTGAAAGATATATACCAAATGTCCACAAGAGTAATTATCAGTGGTGGAATAATATATTTTTGTTTTGCTTCTCTTTACTTTCTGATATTTCTACAGTAACTTTTTTTCTTATTATAAAACAAATACAATAAAATACAACAAATACAATAAAAGTTTGTAAGCAAGAGTTTTTTTTTAATGAATAAGGTTTTAAAACAAAGGATGTTTTCTTTATCTGTTAACATTGTTTGAAGAGCTTAGTGCTATAATTACTACCCTAGAAACAGATAAAATATCTAAACCCTAACACATTAGGAACCCTCAGAATGCCTGAGGATATTCTATAGGAATTTATAGTTTTTCCTCAAAACTTACCTCATTCAGCAACTTAGTAATGTGTATATTTTGAGCTGTTGTCTGTGTGGGCGTTGAATTTTGCAGAAAGACATAAGGCACTTTTCACTATCAGTTTTTAGCCATAACTGCCTTGTTTCTTGCAGTTATTTTGTCACCCCCTGTCTGTATTGAGTTAGGTTCTAGACCACCAAACCTACTTAATTTTTTTGTGAACTATGATGTTAATGATATTTCCTGGACAAATTCTGGAGAATTCAAGTTATTGTGACTGTTTTCTCTGTTATTCACATTGAAGTAGTATCACACATCTTTTTCTTTATGAAATGTCAGTACAGTTGACCCTTGAACAACACAGCTCTGAATGTCATAAGTCCATTTATGCGCAAATTTCTTTTAATAAATACATACTGCAGTTGTAGACTGACCACAGCTGGTTGCATAACTGCAGGTACAGAATGGAGGGCCGGCCTACAGATGGATTTTCAACAGCTCAGAGGGTTGGTACTTCTAACGCTCACATTTTTTAAGGGTCAACTGTATTTTTAATAGTGAAGTCAATGTACCAGTGTCTTAATTAGACTCTTGATTTTTTAGACAGGTAGTACTTTATCCCATTTCACAGTTATGTACTTCTTAAAACTATAGAATAAAAGAACATTTTCTAATTTCTGACTCTCTGCTCAAATTCTGAGCAAACTGAACAAACTACAAAGGGCATAGGAGTGGAAAAAAAAAATCAGAGGAATGATCCCCTTTTTTAAAAAAACATACTCAGCATGATATTTATATCCTAATTCTTTCACGTAACAATAGATTATAATATTTCATGTATACAATTTTTAATAATAGTATAAATAGCATATTCATTACTTTTTACTAAATTTATGTAGTTCCTTACTGATAGACATTTAACATGTTTCTGTCTTTCCACTTGCATGAATATTGCTGCAGTGCATCTTTTGCATAAGCATTTTCAGTGTTTCAAGTTATTTTTCTGCATGTATTCCCAAGATTGGAATTATTGAATCAAAGGGAATCATCATTTTAAAGTTTCTGATACGTAAAAGCAGCATTCCAAAGATACCACTCCAATTTACCCCTCTTCCAACAATTAATGTGTTCATTCATTTCATCTTCACCAACATTGACATTTTTACACTTTTGGAAATCTATTCAGTGAAAAATATTCTTAGTTGTTTTGTTTTGATTTCAGATATCTTAGTGAAGTACATCCCTATCTTGTGGTCATTAAAAACTTAGCTATTAGTAAGCATGCATTTTAAATATCTTCTGTGTAAACAAACTTACGTTTCCCCATATCAGAAAACAGCCACATATCCCTGAGGGAGAATGTCAGTGCAGATGCAGACAAGGCAATGTCAAAGTTTGTGAATATCGATCACTGTTGCAGCTTGAAGGCAGTTTTGTTACTTTGCTTCCAAATTAAAAATTTAAGTGTTTTCTATCCTGGTAGGATATTTTCTTTTCTACAAAATTTAGGTGTCTCTTCTGAAATTATATTTGTCCCTATCAGAAAACTTAGCAGTCTAATTTTTATTTCAGACACTTGCACTGCTGAACCAGTTTAAATCTAAACTCACTCAAGCAATTGCTGAAACTCCTGAAAATGACATTTCTGAAACAGAGGTAGAAGATGATGAAGGATGGTAAGGGCTTTGATTTCTTTATTTTAACCATGAACAAGTAGGCTCAGCACAGAGGCACTACTAGGACATCTCTACGATATCTTCCCCCCTTTTTTTTTCAGACTTTATCTTCAGTTATAGCCTCATCATTATAGGGCCTCAGCGCCTCTTCATTTCAGTTCAGTAAGCATTTATTGAGTACTTGGTGTATTCCCAGTATTGGGCTAGCCAGTGGAAAATACACAGGAAATACTTGACACTATCCCTGCCTTAAATAACTTTCTAATATTGTGGAAAAGATAAGACTCACATTAAACAGCTAGAAAACAGCCTTAAAAGATTCTAAATCATGAGTTTTTTACACTTTCCTATGAACATTTGAGAACTCATTAATCCATTTCATAATCTTACTAAGTTCCTCTTCCAATTTACAATGTATAGGATCACAGCAATACATAAAATGGTTAACTTATTTTTACCTTTGAGTACTTTTCAGCTTTTTAAGACACTGATAAGAAATAAAGGGATTAATGACTTCTCTGTGTCCTGTGCTTAGCACTTTATCCTATACTAGCAAAAAGGAAACAAAAAAAAAGAGTAAGAATTGTATTTTCTCTTATCACACTCCTCTGTCCTCCAGTTGACTTCACATGTAGTATATTAGGCCTCCCCACACCTAACTGCCTCCACCTCCCTCGACACCCTGGCTCAGTCACATCACTGCAAGCAAGCAAGCCAATGGGTCACCCCACACACATGACTCACCCTCTGGAGCCTCTGAACTGTCACATGTGCCATTACCCCAACCCAGAATCATAGCCTCACTCCTCTCTGCCAAACAGCACCTCTCCCCTATTTCAAAACTCTGTTCAACATTCCAATCCTCCAGGAAACCAGTCAGCAAGATTTGTTGAGCACTCACAAATCTAGAGGGTGGAGGAAAGAGGACTGGAACACACATTAAAAAAGACATAAAAACACTTATTAAGAAAACATTCAAGCAAGAAAGACCCTGCAACTATATATAACTTTAATCAAAAGAGACTAGGGGATGATGATTTGAATGGAATGACTCCTACCTACCATAGGACCCTGAAAGTACTTATGTATTTCTCAGTATATAATTTCTGTATGTTATAGGTTATGATGTCAATTTTTGTAAAACCCTAGCTCTCTTTTAATAGATTTCTGTTACTTATATGTATTTGTTTATATCTAAATTCAAAGTTGCTTAAAGCAGAAGCTGGCTCCTCCCATAGTTCTTTGCCAAAGGTGAAGGCTCAGTGAGTGTTGAATGACCCATAGAGATAAGTGCACATTGCACAGAAGAACCTTCTGTTTTTTATATGACTGGACAGGTTTAGTTTTATTTTGGATTCCTTGAATGTCTCAAAATATCTTTCAAATGTTTTGGGTTCAGCCACCACACAAAAAAATGCTTTGCCAAGTCCTCTTCCCCTTATTTTTGAATCCATATGCATTTTTTAAGGAAATATGATCCATGTGTTTCTGATTCATTTACACTTAACTCATCAAGATGGTGTTTTGTAAGAGCAGTTTGATGCCCAATAAGTTTTTTTAACCTTTTTATAAGCCATTTAAGTCCTTTTTTATTGAACAGGAAAGTCACCAACAAATTTAAACCCAGAAGTTTCATTTGAAACTCATAACCCACAGGATTCAAATTTACTTTCAACTTGGCAAAGAACATTTAACTTCCCAAGGTTCTTCCTAGCCCCTTGGTTCAATATTCTCTCATTTTGAATTCCTCATTAGCATCAGATATTAATTCGTATTGTTTTAAGTGTCATTCTTGTTTTTGATGTGATTTCACAATACAATCAATGTTCTAACATCCTCATTAGAAAGTTAAACAAATGGGAAAACTTCACCAGATGGGAGGGAAAAAATCACTGGTCAGTGATGTTGGCTAGTTCTCCATCTGGGGGACAAAGCTAAGTAGTAAAGGAAGGGGAAATAAGGTGAAGGAACCATTACCAGGTCTTCAAGAGGTTCCTTTTTGCCTTTAATTGCAGTCACCTAGCCAGAAAGTCAGAACTCTACACCATGTATCTATACATTTTTTATATTTGTTCTATCTAACATCTAATTAAAATACCTTTAGTATTCATATAGAAAACATGAGGCCCTTATATATAGCCTTTTTGCTGCAGTATAGACTGCTGGAATTTTGTAGACTGAAAATCAACATCATTTCTGTTCATAAATAAACCAGTTCAGCTTTATCAAGTCTCTGATGATTTAGATCATCTCTCATAAAGTATATTCCACTCAGAAAAGAAGTCTTGTATTCAGAATGATTTATAGAAAATATTATGAGTGCATGGCATGTGCATGTGTGTTATGCATAAATTACATGGTTCCCGGACTATTTTGTAGGTCACGCTTGCCGCTTTTCTAAGAAGTGAAAGTCAGCCAGTGCTGTACTGCACCGTCAGGGTCTGTTATCTGAGGCAAAATGATTGCTTCTAAGACATTTTTATGTGTCCACATGAGTGACCACACATTGAGGGATCATTTTCATTTTCTGTCAAGATAGAAACCATTACCAATTTGTTATGTTTTCTTTTACTTGGCAAACTGTTCTATTCGCATTTTTGGCTGAGCTGCTGTATTGGCATGGTATACAACAGACATTTGGGTACCATTCAGCAGCATTCTACTTTCTATGCAGGAAAAAAAAAGAAGAGTGGGAGGGGGAGAGAAAGAAAAGAAATATGATTCTATTATAAACATGGTATATGGTGTTTGATAATTATTCCCAGATTTCACTGTCTAACAAGGCATTTAAAGAAGTGTTATTAGTAGATCTAAGCTGAAATGCATGATAGAAATTTTTTGCTCAAAATTATTAGCATTCTTCCTTTGTTGGGATGAATACTGCCAGTATTTGATAGTGGTGCTGACGGGCACCAGATTCTAGTGTAGCAGCTAAAGTAGCCTCTTTGCCACCACATTCCTTCATCCCACAGCATCACACTCGTATAGCTATAGAAACCTCCTTCAGACGTGGATTTTGTAAAGCTGATTAGATACATAGCAAGAGTCATCAGCCAGAGGATTCACATGACCATGTGGATGAAGTCCATATGCCATTTTGGGTTTGGTTAGATAGAGCTTGGTTAGCTCCCAAAAACGTTTTGAGAGAGCTGTGTCTGACAAGGCAGTAGAGAGACTTATTAAAAAAAATGGAAAGCCACCTGCTCCTAATACAACAAAACTGGCATTCCAAGGGGAGGAAAAAATTAGATCTATGAGGGTAGACTGCAAGCTTGTGAATGTGATCTCTTCACCACTATGTCCACTGAAATTTCTTTCCAGATTGCTAAATCTAAGGTTAACTTAAAACTTCACAACAAACATACCTGATAAAGTAGTATTATCAATATAAATGTCAATCTTCTCTCCTCTCTCCTCCTCTTCCTCTCTCTCCCCTCTGCCACTTCTCCATAGTACATTCAGTATTCAGTAATATAAGAATAGAAAAACACTTGACAACTGAATGTCTGCCTCAAGTAAATATTTTAATAATTTTTATTATATAAGGAAAAGATACTGTAGAAAAACTAGGGTATAGAACCCTCAAAAGAAGTAAATAAAATCACCTGTGATCCCAAACTCAACAATAAAAACTATTAATTTATACATATATATGTACTTCCAGATCCTTTTCTGCATTTATATTTTTTAAGCAGAAATGAGATCATATAATACTATAACTTTATAACTTGCTTCTTTTCCCTCAGCAAAATACAGTGAATGATTTTCCTTGCCATACATAATTTTAGAATATAATGTTTATATTCTGTATTATGGCCATGTAGTATCCCATTATATGCTGAACCACAGTTTACCTATCAGCCCATGTTGGATATTTAGACTTTTTCCAGTTTTTATTATTATACACAACACTGTAATGAACATCCTTTCATCTATGTCATTGCCAATTTTCTCAGGATAAGTTTCAAAAACTGGAATTGCTTAGTCAGTGGGTATGCATGTTAGGCTCTGCTAAATATTTTCAAATGGCCCTCCCAAAATGTCATTCCAATTTATACTCCCAAGTAAATACCATTTTTATGACTTGCTCTTAGGGCTGTTAGAATCATAAGAATTAATTAAGGTACTTTACAGTGCTTAGTGAAAAAGAATAACATTTTAGAAGAAATGTTTTGCCCTTGTAAACTTTTTAAAAATACAAACACAGTCTGTTTTGCTTCTGTTTTTAATGTAACTGGTACAAATTTCAGTGTAACTCCTCAAGATCATCACCTCTAAGTATTCTTGTTCTCGATTCTGGAAAAGTCTTCTTCTAAGATAATGGGTTAGAACTTTTGGATCTGGAATTTGTTTTCAGTTTTATTACTGCACCTTGGCTTGCATTAAAAATCAGTTTTGTCTATCAGCCAGACAGTTTGTTTCTGCTAACGACTAGAGTTCTGAGAACCAAGATTTAGCATGAAGATGTTTTCAAGTGTTCCTCTGGAGTTAGCATAGCACAGAAGCAACAAGTACCAGTTGTCTTCAGAATGAAAAACAGTGAAAATTTAATAACGCACATGTAAAAACAAAAAAGATTATTAACTGTTAGACCAATTTAGACCTCATTATAAGATACCATTAAAAAACACAGCTTCATCTCATTGCTTATATTGGCAAAGCTTAAATCACCTTTTATACGTAATACTGTAATTACAAGTGTAATACATTCTGCCTATGATTTGGTCATGTATTGAGTGAAGGGTGCTATGATAACATGTGGAGACTTTGATTATAGTCCCCACTTCATTCAAGCAGGGCATTGCCAGGCATGGATAACAACTTGGTGTAGACAAACACAGATACACCTATAAGGATGAAGGCCATGAGACCCGTGAAAGCCAGGCTACCCTTTAGTGATAACTGGGACAACAGGTCTCAAGCTGTAGATCTCTGGACTCCTTTATACTCTTAAACATTATTGAGGACTCAAAAAGCTTTTGTTTATGGGAATTATATTT